GAGATTTATAATATGAAATCTTTTATGAATCAAAATCTCTTATTTGATCTCTTATGTTTCTCTTTGCCATTTACTAAAGTGAAAAATAATTCAATTCATGATCTTGATTTCTCGATATTTGATACTTGAAATTTTTCTATGAATTAAGATCATTTTTTCCTTGTTTCTTTTTGCAATTGACCAAAAAAGGAGACTTATCCTCAATGTTTCTTTTTGCTATCTACTATCTAAATGAATCATGATTTTTATGATTCATAATGAATTGAGAGATTTTATATGCATGAATTGAGATCTTGTTCTCCTACAAGATTAAATGAATTTTATCTATATCATGATCTCTTAAGAATTCTTTTTATTATTTATTTAAGAGGAGATTTGTTAAAATAAATCATGGTTTCTCTTGATTTCTCGGAATTATAACTTGAAAATTCTTTTTATAAGTCAAGATTGTCTACTATGATTCTTTCTTTTCGCTATTTGAGTTATCCAAAAAGAATCACAATATGTCTCTTGATATTCATAATTTGTCCTCATGATTTGTATATCTCATCACCAAAATTTTCCTGTTATCCTTCATATGATGATATGAAATCATGTAATACTCATGATATTATGTTGATACATACAAATAAAAAGTTATAATCTTGCATGGTAGGATGTAATATAATTTGATATTTTGATACCATCATGATTTGAAATATTTTTGATTTAGAATGATGCATATAATACTATGATTTTTTATGATGTGAAAGTCAACAATTATCATTTTATGAAATGATACCATATTACAATTAAGAATGATACTTTATTTTTGTGGGGAAAAAAGTTGCTAGTTTGCACATCATAAAGAGAAGCAAAAAGCTTACTATATAAAAAGATGCAAAACTTTGCCAACTTTTATATGCGTAAAATTCACTAGCATGATTTAGAACTTGCTATCTTGAACATGACCGAGAAGTGCTATCTTGCCTATCTCAAGAAGCAAAACATGCTAACTTGCATATCTAGCAAAATTTATAAACTTGCAAAACTCAAAATTTTTGCTAGCTTGCATGTAAAATGATGTAAAATTTTGCCATCTTGCTCTTTGCCAATGTAGCAAAAAATTACACTTCTCAAAAAGAAGAAAGAAAATTACTTGCTTAAATGATGATAAAACTTGAGATTATATTTATAATGCAATGATTTAAAATTATGTCTAAACATTTACAAGTTACACTTCTCCTTTTTATTGATGACAAAGGGAGAGAAGTTATATTGATGATCATGGATGGAATGATATATTGGATATTTTGATTATGCATGATTTTATGATGAATGCAATGATGTGACAAATTGGTTATTTCAATACTCATGTTGTTGCAATGTTGAAATACTATGATTTCAAAGTTTCTATCAATATAGCATATTGATAGGGGGAGTTAAGGTTAACTCTGTCATCAATTAGTTGTCATCATCAAAAAGGGAGAGATTGTTGAATCTCGGATTTTGATGATGAAACTAATTGATAGTGTTTATCTCATGTGCATTTGAGTGACGCAGAACTAGCTTCGATCAGAAGAGGCAAATCGATTAAAGCAGGAGGAATTAGACATTGGGCCGGAGTAAACATGTCAGAAGATAAGATGTTAAGCTAGAGGATCGGTCGACGTGTCGGCAGAAGGCTTCGGTCCGTGAATTCGAGGATCGGGCCAAAAAGATCGGGTATTGTGCCAAGGAGATCAGATGTTGCAAGAAGACAACATGCTGATTGGGCAATATGCTGAAGGAGAGAATGATGCGTCGAAGGATCGGATGAAGCGCCGGAAGAAGCAATGATATGCCGAACAACAAAAAATTCATTTGTAATCAATTATGTCTAGATTGAATTAGTTTAGAGTCTAATTGAGTCGGTTTAGAATGTAATTAGACCAACACAATTAGGAGTCAATTGGGCTCAAGTTTGGGTTATTTTTGGCCAAGTGAAAGGCCCAAATAGTGACTCAATAGATAGAACCGTCGTGACACAGTTTCCAATACTATGTCAGGTGGTGGTACTACCCAGACTCAGTCTCCAAGGCTGTTAGATGGTAGTACCACCTAGAACAATCTCCTAGGCAGTAGTATCGCTAGACTGGGTGGTGGTACTGCCCAATGTTAGGTTGCAGGTGGTGGTATCGCTCAGGTGGTGGTACCGCCCGTACCCCGAAGACCCAGGATGAGACATTTTTAGGCTCCAAGTTTGAATCAACTTGAAGCCTATAAATACCCCTCTCATCTTTGGTTAACAGACACAAGTACAGAGAACTTAAAAGTGAGAAAACGCTGTAGAAATTACTTGAGAGATCCCCTCCTCTAGCTTAAACTTAGAATTTTGTTTAGAGAGGAGTGTGTGCTTGTAAAAGGTTCTCCTAAACCTGTGAAAAGGAGAAGAGTGTTATAAAAGGGTAGTTAATCTTCGCCCATTGAAAGAAGATCATTAATGGATCCTGGTGGCCTCGACGGAAGAGGAATCAGTGGAGTGGATGTAGGTCACGATGACCGAACCACTATAAAATGGTTTGCATTTCTATTTTGCTATTTATCTTTATTACAAACTACTTTACTTCCTCATTACTTTTGCTGCATACCCTTCCTTCCGTACGCTTTCAAAATTAATATATTTCCGAAACGGATTTTATCGTACAAAGATTTTTCGAATCGATATGCTTTTATCCGCTGCACTAATTCACCCCCCTCTCTTAGTGCCGACTCATTCCTAACAATATGATGATGCTTGTCTAAGTTGTTATTATAATTGATATTATTATTTTCATAAATAATCACAGTTTTTGCTATTCAATTTTTTATTTTTATATATACATATTATATTTATACTTGATAAAATGATTATCTTAACAAGATAAGTTATATAAGTCATTATGAACTGTATAAGATAGGATTGATGATGTTATAGTATGTAAAAGAAAGTATAACACAAATGACACAAATGACATATATTAATAGATTGACTTATTATAATATTATGATATTTAATGGATATATCGATATTTTTTCTAAAAAAATATGCACGTATAAATTAATTTTTCCAAAACTTATAATCCAATCAAGTAAAATTATTTTAAAAATAAAATTTTATTTTATTATTATGATTTTGAATGCTTATTTTCTATCTTCTTTAGTTTATTAAAGATAATGATTAGATTCTAATAAAAAATCTAATATCAATATTTATTGATATAAAAAATTTTAGATATTGACCTTGATGGAAGAAAATATCTAAGATTCCACCCTCCCTCCCCTCTTGGGCTTATTGTGTTTTAACATGTTTGAGAACATGACTCCGTCAGTTACGATAGCCATATCGGAAGTGGTAAGAGAGAGAGAGACGAAGGGGGCTAACTTAAAGCACGGATTGGAGGCATCCACGTATACAATTCGACATAAGCATTGCAAATAAAGGTACTTATTCTCGATCTAAGATAGATTATGTCTAAATCCTTGGTCTTAATGTTTTCATATTACAGATTTATTTTGTGACAACCCTTATCAATCATTGATGTACTAATTCTGATCATTATTTGGTATAAGATGTTGCACTAACTATTTATCGTTTTTGATCGACAAACTCAAAAGACATCTTTTTCTTCTCGCTCTGAGTCGAGACTTCTTGCAATGCAGGCTGTACGAGGCGCAGAAGGCCCATCACAGCAAGGTCGGCTTTGGACCAAGATATCAATCGGTAGCAGTTCCAGGAACTCGATTTTGATAGCCAAGTGTCGCCCTTTCCTACGTTGTTTCATGGCGAGACAGGCACGGGAGAGCCTGTCAAGGGTTTGAAGGGTGGAAGCTTTCGCAAGGCTGATCTTGGAAGATTTCAAGGAATTTGCAAGGGTTTCGTCTTGCTCTTTCTCGGCGATGGCTGTCTGCTGGGCTGCTGCATGTAACCCCGCTCTTGCTCACAACCCGTTCGCTGAAATTCCCAACAGAAACGGCAGCAGCACGAGGAAGAAGTGGACTGTCTCCAGTGATGCTGGATCGAAGCCATGTCCGAGAAGAAGTCTTGCGAATAGCTTACGAGGTTGTGGGCTGAATGCTTCAGAGCCCGCTGAGGAAGAACATAAGCTGGAACAGGATAGTCTACCTCCAGATTTGGGGCATGCGCTGCCAGCTAACCTTAGTTGGCTGTGGTCACTTTCGAGCGTGGCCGATGATTCGTCGCCGGATCCGCTATCACCACCAACAGGCTTCAGGTCGATGGGAGTGATCTTCGAATTGGAAGGAGTCATTGTGGAGGACGATGATCCCGAATTGGAGCCGCATGCGTGGTTTATATTGTGTGAAGAGGAGGGCAAAGAGTTCCCGATGGATGTCATCTTGAGGTCAATCAAGGGAATGAAGACCGAAGAGGCCATCTCAGAGGTCCTTGGATGGTCTAAAGATCCCTTGGTGCTTCAAAGATTAGCCACACGGAAGGAAGAGATATACTGGCGTCTGCGTGGCAGTGAGTATTGCTTGCGGTCCGGCTCTCAACAGTTCTTGAACAGACTTGTGGATTACGGTGTGCCAATGGCAGTGGTCTCTGCACGCCCCAGAAGGAGCATTGAAGAAGCAATTCAAGCTGTTGGTTTGGAAGGCTACTTTGTTTGTGTGGTGGCCGCAGAGGATTTGGGCAGGGGAAAACCGGACCCTGAGATGTTCAAACGTGCAGCGGAGCTCCTTGATCTTGAATCAGAACATTGCATTGTGATTGGGAACTCGGATTCGACAGTGGTGGCTGCTGCCAATGCTGGGATGAGTTCTGTTGTGGTTTCAAGCAACAGGCCAGTCTATGAGTTCCGAGTAGCACCACGTGTGGTGAGGTGGCTTGATGAGCTGTCCATTGGCTACTTGGAGAATTCCACAAGGATTAATCCAATTCAGCAGAGAGCAAGTGAAAGACATATGGAGGTGGAAGGATTAAGTTACTTGTAAGACTTTTTGTTGGAGTCTTCTATATATTAACCTTGCATTGATTATGAACTATGCTGTTTTTGGGATTGATACATGAATCAGATTCCCTTAGATTCTTGTGCATTGCTTTGTCCCACTTTTTCTAAAATAATAGGAGCAATGAGAACATCTTTAAACACAATGTTTGTACTTCTATACTTTGACCATCTACCTGCCAATCCTTTGGTGTGAGTTAGGAAACCAACTTACTTGTTGCTGTTAATATGTCGTGCTGGTCGTGATAGAGTTTCTTGTTGATTGGGTGTGGGTTGTGCAGTCATATGACTGCAAAGTAAAGAAAAATCAAATATGCTTGGGAGTTGCATAAATTAGCCTTTTGATTTAAATACTGACTGCCTTATGTTGAAAAAACTTACTAATTTCTCAATAGAAGTTGAGTCTTTCCACACACACACACACACATATACATGTATATATACATATGTACATATATATACATACATACATACATATATACATATATGCATATGCATATATATACATACATACATACATATAGATATACATATACACACACACACACACACACACACACACATATATACATATATATATATATATATATATATATATATATATAT